CTTCTTCAGTCCCTTTAGCATTGACACGAGCCCCCGAGTCCTCCGAGGACATGCTTTGAGGAGTGGAGCGCGGGGAAGGAGAGGGCGGCGTCGGGGGAGGGCGGTGGGAAACCGAGGGAGGTGATACTTTAAGGCCGATGCCATGCTCCCCAGTTCTATGTAGAGAAAATGGCCGTTTTGCTGTTTATAGGATGAGTGGATCGCTTTTATTTTTTTTTTAAAAAATTGCAACTCACCTCTAAGGCGTGACCATGCTCTTAATTTAGGACATTGAAAAAGATGCCAGGAGAGCACGGATGCCAGTGCACAGGCAGGACCCAGGAACGCAGATTTTCTCCCGGAGGCGGCCTCCGCCTCAGCCCCTGAGCCTCAGCCATCTCCCCAAGGACACCCTCCCTGATGAGGAGCCGCGGGCGCGGGCCCCCTGCGGCCATAACCACCCCCAGCGGTGAGATGTGCAGGGAGCAGAGCGCTTGGCGAAGCTCCGCAGGACGGCCGAGCTAAGGGAGAGCAGCGGCGGCCCGCTTGGATAGGGCAGGAGAGGGATGCTTTGTTTCATTTTTATTTTTAAATACATTTTTATTGATTTCAGAGAGGAAGGGAGAGGGATAGAAGCATCAGTGATGAGAGAATCATGGATCGGCTGCCTCCTGCACGCCCACACTGGGGATCGAACCTGCAACCCAGGCATGTGTGCTGACCGGGAATTGAAGTGGGACCTCCTGGTTCATAGGACGATGGTCAACCACTGAGCCACGCTGGCCGGGCAGCAGTTTATTTTTGCTGTGGAGGTTGCTGGGACAGCTACTGAGCCAAACAGTGTTTGAAAGCTGCAAATGGCCGTTGGCAGAAAGAAACTTTCCCACCAGGATTTAAGGGAAAAGAGGTCAGTGCCCCTGACTAAGGAATCAGGTATTGCATGTTTTAAAAATTCTTGTGGCACACCACTTTAAAATCGCTGACCTCAAGCATCAGACAGTTTCTTTAACTGACCCAGAAATAAGGCCAAGTTGGGTAAAATATGAAATAAAGAAAGTGAATAATAGAATGAGAAGACTTTTTAAATAAAGATTTTTTATTGATTTTTTAGAGAGAGAGTAGGAGAGAGAAAGAGAAGCATTGATCGGCTGCCTCCTGCACACCCCGTACTGGGGATCGAGCCCAAAACCTGGACATGCGCCCTGACCAGGAATCGAACTGTGACCTCTTGGTTCATAGGTTGATGCTCAGTCACTGAGCCATGCCAGCCAGACTGTATGTCAGTACTTTTAAATAGCAATTCTAACAAATGAAGGCAAGCACAAACCTTGGAATAGAGGTTATCGTTGGATGAAAACAAATTCTCTAACGAAAGATTTTAATATTGTGCTATCAATATCTCTATCTCAGACACAGATGATGATGGGTGGACAGCCTACCTTCAGGGCTGTTGGGGAAAAAAAATCAATGATCTTTTAAAAATTTGAGCTCTGATATTTGCAAAGTATTTCTGCTTTCAATGAGGGAAAGCATAAGAGGAAGATGCAAACAGAAAAAAATCCATCAATCTATTCCGAAAAAGAAGCGGCTCCCACAAGATAAGTCTCTACAAAGCAGAATTGTATGGTCCAGTCCTCACATAGGCTACAAGAGTTCTCCTGGTGTCTGTGCTCTGGCCCCTGGGGGCATGTTTCGTGGGGCAGTGCCGCCTACTACTGGCCACTTGGCTCATTGCCGTTTCAGAACTGTCAGATGAAGTCACTGATTTAAAGCAGTGATTTTCAGCCTTTTTCTTCTCCCGGCACAATGAACCAACTACTACAGTTCTGCGGCACACCAAAAATATGTCATATTTTCCAATATGACAGAAGATAGGTACCACTTTTTGATGCGTTGGC